GTGTAGTTCTTCTCTGCCGGGTTCAGCGCCCGGCTGGCAAATGCCACCGGGCGGATCTCTCCCCCTGTCTCCTGCAAGAGCACCGCGCCGAGTCCTTGGTCGCTGGCGTCCGTCTGGATCGTGAAGGGCCTATTCAGGTCTGGCAGTTTGAGGGATGCTGTACGCGCCAAGGCCTCGGTCAGCTGGAGGAACGCCTCCTCCTGTGGCGCCTCCCAGCTCCAGGGAGCCGCTTTCCTCAGCAATTGCGTGAGGGGTGCCTGCATGGCTGCGCAGTTCGGGATGTAGGCTCGGTAGTATCCTATCATGCCGAGAAAACGGCGCACTCCCCCGACATCGGTAGGGACTGGGAACTCCAAGATCGCCCGCAACTTGTCCGCGTCGCGGGAAACTTTTCCTCTCTCGATCCGGAAACCCAACAAGCTGATCTCAGAAGCTCCAATTTGGGCTTTAGTCGGGTTTAGTGTGAGGCCGGCGATCCGTAGTTTGCGCAACACGTCCTCCAGGTGACGAAGGTGGTCCTCGAAAGTTTCCGAGTACACAATGATGTCGTCCAGGTACGCGAGCGCGTGCTGCCACTTGGCATCTCCGAGCACCCCGTCGATCAACCGCTGAAATGTCATCGGTGCACCTGTTAATCCGAACGGCATCCGAGTGAACTCGAACAAGCCTCGGTGACACACGAATGCAGTTTTGCTTTCGTCGCCCGGGCTCATCTCCACTTGGAGGTAGCCTTTGCTTGCGTCGAGGGTAGTGAAATACTTCGCCTTCCCCAGATTCGAGATGATTTCTTCGATGCTCGGAAATGGATACGCATCGTTTACGGTCACCGCGTTCAAGCGCCGATAATCGACGCAGAGTCTCGATGTTCCGTTCTTCTTGGGCACCAAAACCACAGGGAATCCCCAGGGTCCTGATGACCGGCGAATGATTCCCGACTTCAGGAGCTCATCGACTGCGGCATCTATCGCGTTTCGCTTCGCCAGGCTCACAGGACGCAGATTGGACTTCCAAGGGCGTGCGTCCCCAGTTTCAATGCGATGTTGCACCTGCTTCGTGCAGCCCGGCTGTTCGGTGAAAATTTCGTCAAACTTGTGCAGCAAAGCCGCCAACCTCTCTCGCTCTGGTCGGGACAGTCCATCGGCATTGGCCAACGGGTGGCCCATTTCGTCGCAGTGCTCGGCGGAGCTCGGAGTTGGGTGACTCATGGGCATGGCGTCGTCGCGGTCGGTTCTTTCCTGTTCTGTCGCTTTTCCCAGCGCTGCCGCCATGGCCCCCATGGAGCGCTCTCGGAAACTTGAAAGGGGTGCATGTGCCCCCTCTCGGTACCCGCCACTTGCCACGTCAATGATGATGCCGGTGTGGGCCAGGAAATCCCGTCCCAGAATGATGGGCACTGTCAGCCCGGCCAAATGGACGAACCGCTGTCTCTGCGCGCGTTGATTCCAACGCACCACGAGACGCACTGCTCCCCTCGAAGTCGTCGACCCACAAGCCAACTGGAAAGTGGTCTCCCCATGCCTCACCCGAACGGACTTCTGTTGGAGATGCCTGAGGACCTCGTCCCCAATTAGCGACGCACTAGCCCCGCTATCCAGAAGAGCTGCGAACTCCTTTCCCGCCACCGTCAGGGAAATAAATGGGGCCGCGGTGCTTGTCGCTTGTCCGACTCGATACGCCGTCGGCACGCACACGGTCGATGGGATGTCGGGGACTCGCTCGTTGGTCTGTTTCGCCGCCGATAACTTTATCGGCGGCCTCCTCCGTTTCCCGGAATCTCCCTTGTGCAGTCGCGCCTATAGTGCCCGATTTCGTGGCACCGAAAGCAGCGGCCTCGCCAACCTGGGATAGGATTCTCCCCAGTGGGACGTCCGATGCGCTCACCCCTTTGTGGCAGCGGGTCGGCGGCAGACTGCTCCTGGGCTGCGGCGATCCGTGGTGCGCCAGTCGGCCGGAATTCCGCCGCGTGGACGGCCGCGCTCCCTCCTCGGCGCGATCCTGGCTCCAAGGCGTCATCCGTGAGCTCCCAGGGATTCCCGCTCGGCTCCCCGCTGGCCGCCGCCATTGCGGCCTCCCCCCGTTGACACCCACGTGGCACCGGCCCCTGCCACGCGCATCGGGGTTCGAGCGTGTCGATTGGTGCTGGGGGAAGGTGGTACCTGCGCTCCGCCAGTATGTCGGCCTGAACCCTGCGCGCCTCCTGTGCGAGCTCACTCAGACTTCCGAATGCGCGCCCACGCAGATACCGCGAAAAGGTGGGATGCGCCTGCCTCACCACCCGCTCGACCTGCTCCTGGTTCGTAGCATTCGGATCGGCGATCTGCAGGAGTTCCTGCATTGCCCGCAGGTACTCTCCGAAGGGCTCAGCGGGAGCCTGCGTTCTTTCATCCAGTTCCCTGCGCATTCTTGGCAGGTAGTCTGCCGGCAAGAACTCTTGTCGGAAGAGGGCCGTGAACTCGTCGAGAGTTCCGGCTGACTCGCCCACAAGGCGATGCCACCTGGCTGCTGGGCCTACAAGAGCCACCGGCAGAACCCTGCCTAGCGTCTCCTTCTCGGTCAGGCCGGTAGCCTTCCGATATCGCTGGATTTCCAGCAAGAAGTCGGTCGCGCTCCGAGCTCGATCGCTGTGTCCGCTGTACTCCGGCACCGGAATGCAGATGAGGGTTTTTGGCGACGGCGTTTCCCTCTGCATGCTCTGTAAGGCCTGAGCGAACGCCGCAACCAACGCCGTGGATTCACGGGACATCTCCGTGCTCTGCGGCATAGACACTACTGGCGATACCGTCGGCGTTTCCGGACTCAGCCCTACGGTCATCTCCGCGGCGTTCCCTTCCGCCAACCCCGAGAGCCGTCGCTCCTTTTCCGCTTGTGTCGTCGCGACGTCCGCCAAAAACATTAAATCTGTTAGCGCGAAATTACCCGCGGCCATCCCGAACACTTGTTTGGACGTGCTCTTTCCACCTTCACAGTGCCGCGGTATAGACCCGCCAACCAGGGGGACCGCCCCGCGTGAACTTTCACGCAGTGTCGTCGACGGACGTTGCGACCGTAATTACGGCTCGCCAGCCCCAACGTTGATGCGCCATTTGTAGGAAATCGCGTACCGACGCCGATTCGCCGTTTCCCACGTGGTCCGTCAACAACCCGAGTCCAGCCTGGTTCTTTCACGGGAGCGGGATTCCGCTCCCAGTTTATTCGTACAACAAAACACAACGCTACAAAACACTTAAACTAAACTACAAATACACGCGACATTATACAAATATTTACAAACGCACGTTAAGACCAACGCTAAACACAAAGTAGGCCCTTAGGCCTCGCGTCCCGCGATATCCAGATCCGGTCGCCACCCACTTGCCTGCCAGTGCCTGCGTCTCGGTCTCGTCCGGAGTTCTTAGAGGCCTCTTGCCCCAGCCCCACCGAGTATATATCTATCGATGGGCGAGGAGGTTTCTCCTCGCCTGCCACGGGGGCGCCTGCAGCGCCCTCCAGTGGCTAGGAGAGAAAGCGGCGCGTCGGGAGCCGAATTCGAGATCCCGATCGACCCCGCGGCAACACGACCATGTGATCGTGTCGCGGCCAAGATTGGCCGAATGGTTTGATGGGCGCCCTCGTGAATTCACGGTGCGCCATAATTTTAAATAAAAATATTGGGCCAGACTTTACTGAGATATATATCACAACAGACTATATTTAGGCCCTCTCTAAGTGACCAGTGCGAAAACTTCGTAACTTCCGGAATCACCGAACAGTCCCTCTAAGGTACGCCGCAGGTAACGGAAGCTAGCAAAGCAGAATTTCGGATAAAGTAATTGATATCTTAAGGAATACAAGACCTGGCCTATTGTTTTCAAGTTTCTTGCTCTTTCATTCGCTCTTCGGCGTCTTATCACCCTGTGGCGCAAATTCATTGGCTGCCAAGTGATAATGGGCTGAGTAATGGCCAATTCGTCTGAGCCCGCATCGCATCGGTGCAGAGCCGTTCGTGATACACGGAAGGCTAAAGGGGAGAGGGGACCTTTTCTCTCCCAACCAGTCTTTTGTGCACTAAAGTGGAAAGAGTTTACTGCACTGGACGGGTGCGGTGTGCCCCAGACGAATAGGCTATATAAGACTTGCCACGTCCGGCGTTCTGTCAGTCATTCATTTGGTTCGACTTTTGACCGTAGACCGCAGCCTCGGGACTGCGTGGCGTGAGCAAAGCCCCCTACATCCGCATGTGCATTTAGGCGACACGTGTTCTTTTCATTTTCGTCACTCGCCCGTGAACAAGGGACCGAACTGGTCCCGAAACGTCGGGTAAATGTTTATTAAATTTTTGGTTAGAGTCCCTATTTTTCGCTTCACGTCTACTCCTAACCAGGCAGAGGGCTGCCGAACGCTTACCTTCAAGTTGTTTATTAAGGTGAAACAAACAAAGTATACGCACGCCAAGGCCTTCAACAGCTGTGTGAGAGGCGCATGATGAGCGCTCGGACTTGTTTTTCAGGGGTGTGTTCTGAGCAGCCCATAAGGCAATTTGAGAGCAATCAGAACCAGTTAAAAATGCCGTGGGTAAAAAAAAGAAAAAGGGATTCGGGTGGGCACATTTATGTTTTTTTTTTTTTGAGTTGCGGGAATTGCTTATACAAGCGTCTTGTTTTGTGGATGTTATGGTTTTACTGTTGTGAAATTTACCTATGTTTCGCTATTTTTCGTTCCTTTTCTTGGGTGTGTGTACGTGAAAGAGAGGCTTGCACCTGTTTTTCTGGGAGCGAGCAAGCGATATTTTTCAGTAAAACCGGTCTTTTCGTAGAGGTCACGTATAGTCTGTTTTATGTGATTGCTAGTTTCACCATATTTAGATGAAATTTATATTTACTTTGTGCTCCCAAAGAATTCGAATGACATGGGCAAATTTAACGGGTCTTTTCACAAAAGAAATAAGTGGCGCGCTTCGTCTGTTCTTGTGGCCCGTTAGCGGCAGTTCTAAAATCCCCGCCGTGCGTACGATCGCTTCGCAGCGCGCCTGGTGCTGGAGTCCCTGGACGAGAGCGTGGACCCCTGCGACGACTTCTACGGCTACGTGTGCAACAAATGGATGCGCCAAAACCCCGTTCCGGACGACCGACCGAGGTGCGTTCTACGTATTTTTGATGCACTCATGCAATACTCAGAGGTAATCAACGGAGCTTTAGAGAAAGCTCCGTTGCTCCAGATCCACTCAAACAGAAACAGGAAGCAATCAATTCTAAGGAGTGTTTCGCTGGCGTTGTTTTTTTCCCGGAAACACCGGTGACGCGTACTATATAAAAATATCAAAGTTGACGAGCGCTCCAATAGTTTCAGCTCGCCGCGGCAAATCGAGTACGCCTAACGTATCGTCTGCTCTATTTGTTCGCTTTTCTGTCGCTTTCATTCTCGGAGGTCCGAAGTACCCGGATGAAGGTAGGCGGCGCTGCAGTCGTTACGATGTTAGTATCAGAGTGTCGAACCGATATTTTTATCGGTTCGGTTCGGGTTCGGGTTCACGGCTTTCGGTTCAGTTCCGGTTCAGTTCCGGGGCGCAAAAAATAACGGTTCAAACCGGTTCGAACCGGTACGAACCGGTTTGAACCACTAAATCGAGAATATATTTTCCGCGTTGTTCTGTCAATAGGCGCTATTTAGGCCGTGAAACTAACTGCTGCAAACGATCTGATTTTTGCGAGGACCTATTTTTGAGAATTTCGCGAATCGCCTACAATTCGCGAAAAATGGGTCCCGCGAACAATTTCGGTAAAATGTAAATACATTGAAATTTATATTGAGATTCCACCGCGTCGAGAAAATTACAACCCGCGAATTATTCCAAAACTTCAGCTTTGACCTAAATCGCGAAATATTGAGCCCACGAAAACTAAGTCGTTTACAGTATATAGTTTTCTTTTTTTTTTTATCGTTTGTTCAATCCAGTTTGATTTTCAGGTACCAACATTATAAAATTCTGTTATTTATTCCTACACAACAAGAAAAGAAAATCTACATTAACATACAAAACGTCGTGTTTATACGGCTCAACATCCCTTCGTTTACCAGAGTCACATACATTGTACCTGAATCGAAATGTTTTTGACGAAGTGAAGTTGATTGCCTAAAATACCCGTGATTGGTACAACTTTGTATCGCAGTATTAGATGTTGAATCGTAGTTTTGCCCTTGAACTAAGGAATTAATTACAGTGAATAAAATCATGAAATGGGCACCTCGTCGCCATATATACCATAAAATGTGTTTTACGGAATACGTTTCACAATATATATATGATGACGAGATACTGTGCTTAATGCAACATAATTTTCAAAATGTCACGAAAGTCACGGGACAAGTCCTTCCAGTCTATATTTTATAGAAACACTAAGCGACAATCGCAATGCTTGTTTTTCTAACTAGCATTGTTTGCTCTCAGCACCATGATGCGGGCGACGAATCATGCGAAAAGGAGTGGCTGAAATTGTTCACTCTAATCTATGAGCACCTTCGTACTGAGATCGAATTGGATAAACTGGCATAGCCTGGATGTTGAGGTTTGCTCTTGACAAAATGCCGGTCAATTTAATTTGCAAACAAGCATCACCCTCGCTAATTGATGATTTTTGTTAAATAGAACAAAGTGGGATTTCATGCTCTACTCAATTCGGAAGCTACTTAATCGGACACTTTCTGAGAGTTTAAGTGTGCAATCGTCATAGTTCCACCATTCGTTCCAGTAAAAAAACGCGATAATAAAAACACATAAAAAACGCGATAATAAACTTCTATATATTTGAGAAGTTATATATGCGTCAGGAACACTTAGTTATTTAAATTAGCTTCAAAATAAAAAAAAATTATTTAAAGCTTTTCCAAATCACCTATAACGTGTCTATAGAGGATAAAAGCGGCAAAAAAGATTTGCAGAACATCGTTCAGATAATTTAAAGGTGCATTTACTTACATATCTTTGAGGTGAGGATCTTCTATTTGTGCTGCCAAATCTTCAGACAGGAATTAAGTATATTTTTATTATCATCGATAAATTTGACTTTATGAAGTTCACATGACCGCCTGAGATGGACACGGAAGGACGATACTCGAAAATACGCCAGCTGTTGAGTCTTCGGCAACGTGCTTTTGTTAGCTGTTTTGCAGTGTAAAATACTGGGTGGCAGGGTATGCCAAAAAACGCTGTGGTCACATGATATATCGGAAGGCCAATACACGAAATGGGCAGAAATAAGGAGATGACACGCAATTTTGTCTAAATAATCCCTTACATAACGCTTTACTGCAAAAAGAGATACACAGAAATGCAGAAAATGATATTCCTAATTAAACATAGATTCCGCGCAGGGCAAACGAAGATTTTTAGAATCCTAATATAAATCACTTTTGGGCATCAGCTTGCCTCAGCTCGAAACGTCGCGAGATACTGCCTCGGGAGGCTAATGTTATCTTAGGTTGTTTTGTTTTGGAACCTTACTTCACGACTCTGTGCTTTATCAGTCATGTGCTCCAACATTTCATTAGGCTGCCGTATATCATCGCGAGACTGCTATAAATACTACACAACTTTACACCTTGGACGTTACTGCTGGTGTTGCGAACGTCGCACTTCACCAGAAAGCTGAAGTATTTAACATGGTTTGCACGTGAGGTAATCACACTAGATACTGGTTGTCATTGCGAGTTGTTCTTGCTGAGAAAATCAAATCCGGTGGGGCAAAATGCACGCTACAAAAGTTTCGCGCTCAGTGCAAGCTATGTATTTGAGAGGCACACATTTTTCTTGTTGGAGCATCGTCGTTAGGCACGGCGCGAGTATCTGGCACGACGAAAACGTGCTTTCTGGCAAAAGTGTATTTACAAATAAAAGTTGTACCAACTACCCATCTGTCACTATCGTTTCCAGGCCACGCTTTCTAGTCTGCGCCGAAAATGCGGGGCAGAGGAATCTTTACGAATAGTATGCTTTAAAACTACCCCCCTCCCCACTCCCTCTTTTTTTAGTTGCTCCTCAAGATACCTTTTATTCCTTAGGGATCGCCTGCTCCGTATTGAGTGGTGTTCACTCGACAATTATATTTGTGTCACTTGTTAACAGTAATTCTTCCTTGCTTTTACTTTGCACCACACTTTGAAGTTTAAACAAAATACAGGGCGGTCGAAACTTGGAGAACTTGAGAACGACACTCCTGTGAGACTTAGAGCGGCTGCCAACGTTCGGCTGTCCCCGGCGTGAGGCCACTAGGATCTTTCTTCTCAGGTATCCCTCCCGTACACACTAATAGTTCCATGTAACGTCGGACTAACACGTCACATTTAGACCCTTTAACACTTCTATTCTCGGGACAACTTTCTGGGGCAGTTCAGCAATAACGAAAACATGTTTGGGAGCCTCAATGGTGTGCATACATGTAAAATGGGTCGTGCAGCATATTTTTTTACCTTAAATTCAATAAATACCGCTAAGATGTAATCCCTGACGTTGATAACTTGCAAAATCATCCATTAGTTTGCCCCTTCGCGAAATGGCAGACAGTCGAAAGAAAGAAATGAAACAGCTTTCCCCTCCTCAACTCGCAATCTGGACTATCAGCCACGTGATCTGGTCCTAATATATACACCGTCAGTGTTTATCATAGTCATACGCAGGGTTGGCAAAGCCGAGAGCATGGGCTGATCTTCAGATATAGTTTTAGTTGGGCTATAATGCCCGAGCCCCACTAAAGCGACAAACAGAAACAAACGACAGCGGCCAGCCTTAGACCAGAGTATTTCGCGATTTGACAGGCTTTGTAGAATAAAGAAGGCTATGCTCAAACACGAGTATTATGCATACGATGGTACCATTTGCAAGCTTGTAAACGCTCGTGCTAACTTCGTGAGCACCGAACAACTCAAAGCCGTATAAAGGTACCATCGCGAACATGCTGCATGTCTCTGAGGCTTGTCGCTGTCGTTTGTTTCTGTTTCTAGCTCTAGTGGGACTCGGGCCCATCATAATCTTTGAGTTGAACACGAGCCGTTACCCGAATGTTTGGCGATGCTGGTTGTCATGAACCAGAGCATTCGACTCGGGATCACGACAGTCGGGTGCATCATGGTGTCACGTGACTCTCAGTGCGAAGTTGTGATGTCATGTGACGTCACGGTATCAACAACGTTAATAGATCTAGCGACGTCCTCAATTTGAATCGACTTAACGCGGTGAGTCACGTGACGTCACAGGGTCACGTGATGTGACATTAATTGACAACATGTCTTGACATCATGACGTCACTTTACGATGTGACACATGCCTAATCATAGTGCCAATAAGAAAGTGCCGCAAAAAACCAGGATTTATTATACATTGCAATTCTGTATATGACGATTTGATCAATACGTAGAGGAATACACGTGCCAATTTTTTTATTCCCAAATAATAAATTTGTAATACTAACGAAAAAAAATACCGTGAACCATTTTGAACCGGTTACCGTTATATTTTTTTCCGGTTAATAATAATAATAATAATAATAATAAATTGTTTATTTTCCATCACATACAATGACGGATGGAGGTTCAGTTCCGGTTCAGTTCCAAGATGGCGGCGAAGATTTCGGTTCGGTTCAGTTCCGGTTCGGCTAAAAATAACGGTTCTGTTCCGGTTTTTGGTTCGGTTCGGTTCCGGTTCGACACCCTGGTTAGTATATTTGCTAGAGAATAGCGCGGAGAAGAGTTTAGTTGCCTGAGTTCTGACAGCCGTAGCATATTTTGATGACGGTCAGCAGCACATCACTAATTGAAATGTGCCAGTTAAGGAGATTATTTCCACAGTTACTTAGTCAATTTTATGTAGTTCATTTGAAAATTATCACTTTACACTCGCCACCTGATGTCCCCCGCGGTCAAGAAGGTTACCCGGGGAAAAATTATTCCTGAATTCTGACATTAAAACAAAATATTTTCAATGGCTCGAGAAATACTTTCTATTTCCTTAGATTAACATCGAATTAAAAGTTCAATGTGACTTTATAAAAAAAAAAAAAACGTATTACGTTTGTAGATGATATGCAATACTCTGGCCTGAATTCGGAAGGCAGAAAACAGAAAATGATTTTCAGTAACGTAAA